AAATAATAAAATATATATATATATATAATATAATATAATATAATATAATTTTTAAGATAATCATCATAAAAGTCAACAAATTTACTATATATGTTAATTTGTGATTATTTATGATTGAATAACAGTTTTAAAAGAGCTTTACACAGTAAATAAATAACTTTTTTTTTTTTCATAACCTTAATGTATAATATTTTTTTATGCAACCTTATTTATTTATTTTTTATTTGACTATTATTATTTTTAGGAAGTTATTTAATACGTTTAATATATAATTTTTAGAATTTAATGAAAATATTTATTTCTATATCTTGTTAGTGTAAAACTTTTATCATGGGTTGTTTTTTTTTTCATTAATATCAATATTATTAGATTTTATAATATTATGTAAATAGACAATAAATAAATATTACATTTTTCTGGGTTGCATATAGAAGGGAGAGTAATCCTGGGCTATTAAGAGTATTACTTTATATATGTGTTCCTCATATATAAAGTGACCCTTAATAACTTAGGATTATTCTCCCTTCAATTTGTAACCCAGAAAAGTGTAGTGTCTATTTTGTAACACTCTAAATTTTCTAAAATTATTAAAAATATATTTTAATTAATTAAAAGTGGTTTATGTAGAGCTGTCAAAACGGGTCAGTCCGGCTCGTTTGACCCGACCCACCTCAATCCATTTTTTTAAGTAAGTTGACCTAACTCGACCCACTAATCCTAAAGTGCAAATTTTTTTAACCTAGCCTGATCCACCATCGAGTCAGCCCACCAAATCACCTAATTTAAAAAAAAATAATTTAAAATAAATTTCAATTTAAAGTACAAAATTGTCAAATTAAATATCATGCATACAACATTAAACTTAAATTAAAAGGTGTATAACTTTAAATAATCAAAAAATAAAAATAAAAATCCATTTATGAAAGTGATTATTCATCAATATTAAATTTCATTGAAGGCTTGAGTAGATAAACTTGTAACAATTTCATGTTGTTTAACATAATGACTTTATCTTTATCTACAAAATATAATGGTATCTTGTTAAAATAACACATATATAACAATAAATGGTTAAGTGGGTTGTTAGTGAGTTGGGTCGATGGGGATGTAAGTGGGTCAGGTGGCCCCACCACAGGTTTAGTCCGAGTGGGCTAGATCGAAAGTGAACCGAGTCACATTTTTTGACCCATTATAATTTTTTTTTGGCCCGATCTGGCCCATTTTCAAGGTAGACCAGCTTGATCCACGGGTCAGAACCCACTTTGATGGCTCTAATTTTATGAGTATTTTCTAAAAATAATTAAAAAGATATTAGAGACTTTTAATGATTATGAGTATTTTTAATTAAATAATAAATATTTGCAAAAAAAAATTGTATACTATTCATTGGAGAAATGTATTTTATGGTATTTTAATTTGAAGAGGGATCCATTTAGTCTAGGAGTAAATCTACCTAGACCGTTTTATAATTCATGTTTTATATCAAATCTCAATGATTGAACTGTTGAATTTAAAGTTTTTAGTGAATAGATCAAATTTGTAAATTTTTAAAAAATTTGAAAATTATTTGATACTTCATTTCATTAATTCAAATTAACATACAAAATAATTATCTATCAATTTGAATTAATGAAATGGATCCCTTTTCTTTTAATTAATATATATATATATATTAGTTGCTATTATTGTTTTTTTTATAATTATTGAACTCATTTTAGTAATTATTTTAATTATTTTATATGTATATGGATATATTATAAGGTTTAATATTCAAATGATTTATTTATTTTGAATTATTTTTAGAGAATAAATTTCTAACTTGAGTTAAATATTTTAACAATTGGATTAAGGTGGGGTTAAGTTTTTTTTCAAAAAGAGAGTTATCTGATTAGTTTTCATTTTACGCTACTTTCTTTTCCACCACGCTTATGCACTTCAAGTTTGGGAGAACTAAAACTCGTAGGAAAACATCTTGGAAATCCATCTCCATCTTTTAGTGCTCATTAAGGTAAGGGGGTGAGTAGTCTCACTCTGAGTGTGGGATATATGTTAGGTATACGTGAGATTAGCTCGTAATCCTTTCTCTATTGTTTTGTGTTGTATGAAAGGAGTTTTCCCAATTATGCATCTTTGTCTTCTCTATGATTCTTCATTGTTCTATTTGATATTCTTAATATGTATATGTATTGAATTTAATATTTGATTTGATAATTATAAATTTTGGATTGTCCATAGGTTCTTGTGAAAATCCTAAGGAAATGCATTGCTGATTGTATGAGAAAATTAATAAAGTGTGTAATTCGTGCCTTTTAGAAGTGTAACTTAACCTTTGACATGTTTTTTACCGATTAGTTTTGGGTTGAAGGTGTTAGGGAATGATGTAGGAAAGGTTAGAAACCCATAAATAGTATAATTTCATGTTAGGGATTGTTATATCTCACTCCAAGCAATCTTATACTTGTTCTAAGCGAATTAGCTCACTTCAAGCTACCTTAGGCTCGCTCAAGCAAGTCCCGACAAAGAGTTTTGGGTGGCGCTCACTACAAGCGAGCTAATCTCACTCGACGCTTGCTTTGAGCGAGTTGATCATGCTTAAGTGAAAGATTGGCTTGCTTAAGTGGGTAGATGACTGAATTTGCTTATAGTCTCCATGAAAGTTGTAATCCTAGATGTTAGCTTTCAAATTCCGTTGAAATCACCTAAAAAGGATGTCTAGATTCTAGACCTCAAGATATGATCAAAGTAGTGAGTAAAGGTCAAACTATCATATTTATGATGAAATGTTGCGATTTTGTAATTTATAAAAATAGTAGATGGAAGAATTAGCTCTTGAGGTCAACATAGAAGTTTTAGATAATTATCTTAGCTTTCTAAGAAAATTAATATAAACTTGATAACATATGTATAGCTCTAAATATAAATTAAGTTGTGGAAATGAATGGTGATGGTGAATGACTTTACCCTTTAGGTGTTTAATCTTACAAATGGTTTGAGGTACCTATATTAATGTTTAGGAAGGAGAAATCATTATATAAAAAAAATTTAATAAGTTATTATGTAAGTTTATTATTAATAACTTAAGGTTTCTTGGTGATAGTGATATCTAAGGACTTAATGTGTGATATTGATACGACTGCTAGATTAGTTAAACTATTGATTTAAATACTTAGTGATGTTGATCTCTTAGTAACTATGGTTAATGTGTTAACATATAATTAGACAATTTTATAATGATTTTATCTGAGGTGTATTGAATGAGGTTTTGTAATTATTGTGTTTGAATTAGGAACATGTTCAATCATTGTACTAATTAATGTTGATAACTAGTTGTAATATGTAAGTATGTTGTTGACACGATTATGAGTTATGTATGAATTAATTGATATGTTATAGTATTGATAAAG